CATTAAATTCCAGTGAAATATATTTATGTTTGTGGTTGTAATGTGACAAAATATGGAAAAGTTCAAGGGGTATGAATACTTTTGCAAACCACTGTATGTATGGGGGAACATGGGTACTGGGGAACATAATTACTGGTGAATATATAGTAGCTAATGGGAAACATAGAAAAATGACATTCTAATAAAGTTCATTGTGTCTATAAAATCTATAATCTATAATCTATAAAAGTAGCATTTAAATCAGTTATGTCTGTATAGACATAAAAATAAAAAAGTGTCTAGTAATTAGGAAAACGTATTAAGATAAGTACATGATAATAAAGGTACCTGGGAACATAGGTATGGGTCTGTTGGCTGTGGTGGACATCTTGGATTGGCTTTATCCCTAAAGATAAAAAGCTGTAGATTCAATGATGAGGTTTTGTTAAAATTCAACCAATTGTTCACAAGATATTTTGCTGACATACACCGAACACACACAAAAAAGAGCAAAAACATTATTGCATGCCTTTGGCAGCAGGTCATAAAGCAACACTGTTACCAACTGAATGACACAGCAATGAAAATTATTTCCACAATTTCAGTTTTTAGTTTGCAGGTGACTTTGATGTATTACCAAAGTAACTCTTGTAATTAAAGCTTCAAATACTTAAGAATGCTTTTTGATCATATTTTAAAAAGTCAGAGTATTTCAGCTGCAAACTCCACAGACAGTGCGTTCTCCCTGTCTCCTCATGTCAAACATTGTGCAGCTTTCACCTCTTGATCAGCCAGGTTTGATGTGCGAGTCGGTGAGACGTTTACGGACTCGACAATCAAAGCTTTCGCTCTGCGTCTCATGAATCTTTCAGCGCCCGTCTCTGTTCTGTTTTGTTATGAGAGCGAACACGTTTCCTGTCTTTGTTGTGAGATCTAACGCAGTAATATTTCTGTCAGTGGTTTAACTCAAGAATCAAATCAAAGACTTTGAAAGACGTGTTTATTCATTAGCTTCAAGCAGAATCAACACACCATTCTGTTTACGCCAGGCCAACAAGAGGTGAAGGTGTAAGATAATGTTTCTCTCCGGGTTTATACTGTATCTGTTAGCAAAATGTCTCATGAACATTTTGACAAGTTTTAATAGATCTTACAAAAAGTAATCTTTGAATGACCACCCACAGCCAACGATCGTTGGCTAGAGGTCCTATCATGTGACTTTTCATAGTCAGAGAGAGCAGCCATAATGTTCATGGTGAGGACAAGTTGGTAAAGCTGAATGTACGAAGCATTGTCCCGGGCCGGCCGAGGAAGTTACATCACACAGATGAGAGTAACTTTACAGCAACTAACTTTTTTTTTCACACAAGTTTAACTATACAACAACAGAAGTAAGCTACCAAACAACAACAACAAACTAACATTAGCTACCTTTAGCTTATTGTTCTCTGTCACCCTGCCTTTCCGTCTTAAGTGTTGTAGAGCCAGTTGGTCTGGAGTTAACTTTGACTGCACTTTAGCAAAACTATCTCATGAACCACTGGACTGATTGTAATGAAACATTTAGAAAATATTAATTAAATGAACGTCTACAACTGAGTAGCATTTTAAAGTCCATTTAAGGTGGTTGCCACCACTAACTGATATTAGAAAACACCACAATGTCTTTATTTATTAAATTTTACAGATTTTATGCTAAAATTTAGAAATATATTGTGTTTTGTAGCTGAGAATCATTGACAACAGATGCTCTCAATATCACATCAGTTATTGAGAGAGACAACATTATATTCAAGGTTTGACCAAAAGACGTAGACATCATTTTTACCCACTTTTTTCTTTTCTGGATCTTAGTTTAAAACTTGAATTTTTCCTGTGTTACACTTGGATCTCAGTTTGTAATGTCTGTTATTTTCCTCCTGTCTGCAGGGTGACTGCTCCCAAAGGTGCAGGAACATCTTTGTTCTGGAGACGGTCTGTGTTGCCTGGTTCTCCTTGGAGTTCCTGCTGCGCTTCATCCAGACTCAGAGCAAATGTGGATTCCTCCGTACGCCTCTGAACGTCATCGACGTGGTGGCCATCCTGCCCTACTACATCACCCTCATTGTGGACTCTCTGTCTGTGGGAGGAAAACCAGCCGGCTCTGGGAACAACTACCTGGAGAAGGTGGGGCTAGTACTTCGAGTTCTCCGGGCTCTGCGGATCTTCTACGTGATGAGACTGGCTCGTCACTCATTGGGCCTGCAGACGCTCGGTCTGACCGTGAAGAGGTGCACGCGTGAGTTTGGCCTGCTTCTCCTGTTTCTCTGTGTAGCCATGGCTCTTTTTGCGCCGCTGGTGTTCCTTGCCGAGAGCGAAATGGGCGCCAAGCAGGAGTTCACCAGCATCCCCGGCAGCTACTGGTGGGCGGTCATCTCCATGACCACAGTGGGCTACGGCGACATGGTGCCCAGGAGCATCCCGGGCCAGGTGGTGGCGCTTAGCAGCATCCTGAGCGGCATCCTCCTCATGGCGTTTCCCGTCACGTCCATCTTTCACACGTTCTCCCGCTCGTACGTGGAGCTGAAGGAGGAGCAGAGCCGAGCTTTGAGGCAGAAGCTGGACTCGCAGGACAGCACCAAGTCCCAGAACAGCGAGGACTCTCAGGAGATGGACAGCTATCATGACATCCCAGAGGTCACAGCGGCTGCTGTACAGCGGCGGAAGTCCCTGGCTGCTCAGAGGGCGGCTGACATCAGGGCGTCCATGCAAACTTAAGATGGAAACAGAGTCGTTACTTGTCGATACTTTCTGCTTTGCCATTGACATTTATTTAATCCTTTTTACCAATCCACTAAGGTCCGCCAACCTTGGTGAACTTGTGTGTGCAGATTTTTGTGACCACTTTGACTGTGGCATCAAAGAATCAACGAACAGAAAAAAGTTGCAAGAGCAGAAAAACAACACAGATGCTTGTTTTAAGGAAGTACTGTGTGAAGAGACTTACTGCTATGAATGTTTGGATAATATCACTCAGGGACCACAAGGACACAAAAACTGCATCTAAAGGGTACCACATACTCAGGCGTACTGTGTGCGGTCCGTGAGCCGCGCAGACTCCGCGCATATTGTCCGTGGATGTTTGAGACTTCATACTCGAGCGTACTGACCGCCGGACAAATTCTTTAATTTTTCACAATTTTGATCATGATGTCAAGGATGAGGAGGAAGAGATAGTTTGGATTTTAGCTTTAAAACAACAAAAGAAACGAACTACTTACCCAGGATCTGAGCTACTTCCTCCCACAAATTTGTTGCTCGCTGAAAACCCTTATATTCCTTCATTGACGTATCACAAAGTTTTCTAATCTCCATGAGACGCTCTTCAAAATTTGACTCCATTTCGTCCACAAATGACACAGATTCTCAACTTTATCAGCTTAGTGTTGCATTCAAAACAGTCTGATGTGAACTCGCCGGGCAGTTTATTATGTGACACCGCAGACGCAGATGTAAAAATTGATCTCTGCGCGGACCGGTCTGGCGGATGGCCGCTTCAAGTCCACCTCGAGTCTGTGTGGACCTCCACGGAGTGAAGTACGCCTGAGTGTGTGGGGGCCTCAGGTCCTGGGGAGAATCACACAGCTTTGTTTCTTCTTCTTGTCTTTTGGATAAACAGCCAAAAATCAGCTCATCATCGCCACCTATAGGAAAACTGTAGACCACTGAGTGGGACATTGTAGTGCAATGAACTCAGCCATTAGCAGCTCTGTCTGTCTGTTAATGGCATTTGGATTAATCAAAATTTTAATATTGATTAATAGAAAATTGATTAAAAAGCTGGCATCTTATTGATACTAGTGTGACGGGATTAATCATTACAATATATTTAGATTTAAAACATGACACACACACACACACACACACACACACACACACACACACACACACACACACTTGTTCCTACTTGGAAAAAAAAACTGCCATTCCTTCTTTTAGGACTGTTCCCTCTTCAGAGGTTGCCACGAGTCATTGTCCTCCATCTCACTCTGTCCTCACATCCACATATCTACTCTGTCTTTTCCTGGCACCTGCTTCTAACATCTTTCTACCAATACACCCACTGTCCTTCCTCAGCACATGTCCAAACCATCTCAGTTCTGTTTTGTCTAACTTTATCTCTCTGGAGTTCTACCTGTGCTGTACTTCTGATGATCTCATTAAAATAGGCCACCTTTATATTTGAAAAGTATGACATCAGGTCGATATTAGTGTTACTGATCCTGTGTTTTCAAAGCATTGGGTCAATACCAAATTTTGCAGGCTCACACACCACTACTATGTTCCTGGGGCAAACTGGGAGGCTGGCAGGCCCCTCCATGGGAATTTAAAAATAAACTGCAGGACTGTTAGCGGGGAGATTTTCTTCCTCTGGAGTTCGATATCTCTTGTATTGATTGTGACATACCCGTGTGCACCAGAGGGTTTCACAAGTTTTATAAAACTTTAGAGCTGCAGACTTTTTCTTTTGCCACATTGTACTATAAGGCAGTATTCCTGATTAAACACATCAAATAAAATAAGAATTAAGTCCTACCACTGCACCAGATTTTTCTATTCAGACCTCATAATAATAAATAACACTTCTCACAATCTGTGTTTGAATGTGAAATAAAGGTGTTTGTCAAACATTGTTGACTAAAACCACATTTATGATTTTTGGTCCTGACAAATTGAACCACTTCTAAAGATGAAAGGATGATAAAGTTTTTGCCTGTGTGTGTTGCATGTGTAAGTTATCCCATGAACCACTTGATGGTTTTTATGGTTTCTTTCACAAGACAGCCCAAGCAGAGAGTATAGGTCTTCTGGAGTCCTCTGTGTGCTTCCTGAATATACCAAGGTGGCAAGGTGGGGTCTGAGCACGCCCTCCCCTGATGTGCCTCGTGAAGTGAGGTAGTAACAGAGGCGAAATGGCCACCGTGAAAATGTAAGTGGATCAAAAATGTCTGTGATGATATCTGGTCCTGTTGCAGGATTAAACAACAAACAGATTTTTTGTTTACCGAAGGAATAAAATAGTGTGAAAGTTTTAGCTAATTTTAAACCTCATCACTTTTGCATAGCACTGCTTTGGTGCCAATGGCTTGTAGCCTATATAAGTTATTTAATGGTAAATGGTACTGAACTTATAGAGCACTTTTCAAGTCCCTCCAGACCCCAAAGCGCTTTACACTAACAGACATTCACCCATTCACACTCACATTCACACATTTAGTCAAAAATATGTTCACAAACTGGCATAATTTGTCTGAAATGTTACATTGTGACAGGGCCTTTAAGTCGTGTTCTTTCACTGTTTTTGAGAAAGACTGGAGAAGCCTGAAAAACTTTCAAAGCCCTTGTTTAGCTAGCTATTAGCATAGACTGGAGGAAGACCCTTTTCTCCTTTCTCTCTACTCTATGACTAATGTTACACACACCATTCCTGTTGTCATTCAGGAACCAGTGAGGGGTATTTTTGATCATTTTAATAAGCCATAAAAACATAAACCATCACTCTCCTGTCTGTGCACCAGAGGGTTTCATAAGTTTTTTTTTTTTTTTAATTTTGAGCTGCTGAAGTTATTGTTTCAGGCTACTTGCAGTTTTATTTATTTAATTATCCTGAGGACTTTCAATCTGCTTCTCTGAACTTACTGGAACTCGAACATATTAGACAAAACTCAACTGTTGAATAGTTCAATGTCAACATTTTTAAAGAAAAGTGAAATGATTTGTCAGATTGTATGATGAATTTATATCCTGGGGAACACAGTAGTATATGTATATGCTGTTAAGTGCCAGGAGGACTGCGACCAGTTATACAT